AGTTTCCTTATGCATTTGCTTATGCTTATATATAGACCAATCAATTTCCTTATGCTTATGCGTTATGCTTTATGTAAAAGTCTGTGCTCCGGCCTTATGAATGGGCGATACAATAGAAAATATCGATATTTTGTATCAATATGTATCGTAAATAAAATATCGATGTATCAAAAATATCAAATAAGATATATCGATATTGGTGATATCGATATTATCAACTATTTTTCAATTATAGTCGTATAAACATATGCATAAGAAAATTGATTGGTTTATTTTCTTATGCATTTACTTATGGACCAATCAATTTCCTTATGCATATGTTATGCGACTATGCAAGTTTGTCTGGATAGGCCCTAAGGTCATTAGCAAATCGACCAATCATAGTCAAGTATTCTTAGTTTCATAATGGCTTCTGCACACAGGACGCAGTAATACATGCTATAATGGGTGCGTTCCACTTAACGCCCGCAACGACCGCGACCACGACCGCAAAATTGCGCGTTCCACTAGCTCGCTAACGTCGCAAGCGAAAATTTTAGTGGAACGCATTAGACGACCACGGCATCTTCTTCTGATAATTTACTTCTATAACTGTGTCGCTTTCAGTATTGTAAAAAGGAATTATTTGCGACGACATTGTCAAACACTGTCGAACACTACGAACATTTTAGTTTAAAAACCGCGTGAAAATAGCTAAGACACGACGACCCACGTTTGAACCACGGGCGTCGTGAGCTCGACGCAGTCGCAATCATTGACGTCATCTATGACGTTTCAAGTGTGACCACAGCGACCGCGGTTGTTAAGTAGAACGAGTTAACGGGTGTTGCGAGCGCTGTGGACGTTAAGTGGAACCACGGACTAAGGAATAGAGGGACCGAGTCTAAGGGCGGTATTCATAGTCCGTTCTTATATTCAAAATCGTCTTAAGCACGGACTTATATTCGCTCTCTTCGTCACACATAGATTGTGTCTGACGAAGAGAGCGAATATAAGTTCGTGCTTAAGACAATCTTGAATATAAGAACGGACTATGAATACCGGCCTAAGGGCGGT